TTGCTGTGTTTTTCCACAAATTTAAGAGTCCTATATTTTCTAGAAAAATAAGAGAAAGCTATTGTGCAAACAAGATTTAAGAACAAAAGATACCAAGAATGGGAGAACCATCTTCATTAAAGGTATCGAAGCCCAATCTGTCCTTCAGACATTAACTTCTAAACTTCTCCATTATGGATATAGACTGACAGCTGAAATGCCTACTCTCACAAATATAAGTGTCATTTGAACATCCACCTCATTAACAGGTAAGTCAGAGCTTAGAAAAGCCTACACAGTGGCTGACAATGCAGATGCCAGACCCAGTACCATCTCACATAAAGGACCTGAGTCCAGACCCATCACTCCAATCTCTTAAGAAATTAAAAGTAATTAATTCGTTACAAGGCAGATGGTCCAGCAATATGCTTCAACAGTAACTGAACTGAATGAGAACCAAAGACAACGGTCTGTCTCCAGTAAGCATAATATTGACATTATAGAAAGACACAAAGGTAATTAATTTCCCTTCTTACTTGAACTATCTTCTTTACAGAAAATGTATTTCAGTTCTGCTTTAATCTAGGCAATGATACCAAAACTTAAAATAAAACAATGCTCCAGCAGTTTAAAAAAAAAAAAAAAAAAGACAATAAAGTAACTAACATAGCAGATGGAGAGAACGGCAGTGGCACTGGCAATCCTGATCTGACCTGCTGATTGTACTGGTACAACATCAGAAAGGTGTTCAACATCTTGCAAGGCACAATTGGTCCCTTTGCTAATATAGTCCACAAGAATGAATATCCATATTTCATCTCCCCAAGCCGGATTTGTTTGGTCAATGTGCTTACTAGAAGTATATTTATACTTAGGTCTGATACATTGTTTTGGCAGAGTAACGAGTCCTTAAATTGAGGATCTTGCTTGACAGTTCTGAAAAATCTTCATAGTCTTTTTCTGTTATCATGAAGTGATACCCACTTGAGAATTTTATGAAGCCTTTGCTTAATAAAATTTCTTTCATAAGCACATAACAAGATTTCAGCAGGTACTGTCAAGCTTTTCACTCACCTAAAAAACAACTGTGTACAAAACTACACTGTTGTTACCAACATGTAGCTGTGTGACATCCTTTATTTATGAGCCTTAAGCTCTTTTGAAACTCATTGGGATAACTGAGGAAGCAGACCTACACAATGGTGGAAAGGCTGACAATGTGGTTTTGATCACCCTTCACCTCTAAGGAACACTGTGAGGTGGTGACTGTATGGATGTGACAGGCAGGTACGTCAAAGTCTCAGTTACAAAAAGCAGTAAGCTCAGGTACTCAGCCCTCCAGTAACAGTTTTCATTCAGCTGCCTGACTTCAAGCACCCTTCCTGAAATGGATGCAGACCAGTATTTGACCCTGGACATAGGGTACCCTAAGTACAAGGCTGTTTAAAAAGCATACTCTTAGAAATCTCTGCCATTGGCAGAGCTGGGAATGAAGCCCAGGACTGTTGATACCTCTATGCCTACCGGCAACTTCCTTACTCCCCTAATATATCATTGCCCACAAACTGCGATTTGTGGATCACTTGAAAAACAAAATCCTCTTTAAATAAACTGTACACAACCTGAAAGTTAATGCAACATCCACATAATCAAGAAAGCTTTTCACTACCATTTTGCTCGGATCGAGCAACACTTGTATTTCTGTTCTGAACAAGAATGGGAATGTCCTCTTTTACTGGGATAGAAAAACCAAGTTAAAAGCAACAAAGTGAATGAATAGCCCCAGGCTCTCAGTCACAATCTCCAAGATTACATTCATAATGCAGTTTATAAACGCTCATAAATGGCTACTGGAATCTTTAAGTACTTCAATATTCAAACAGGTTTTAAAACTATGGCAAACAACCCTCGCACCTTCTACTTGTGATCACACATGCCTATAACAGACAAGATTAGTACGTAACATCAGCAGGTTGTATGTTTAACCACACATTGTATGGTGGTTATGTTAATAGTATGTATATATAGTATGTTAAGTAATATAATAGTATATATAGTATGTTAAACTACGCATTAAGTTTCTGATAAGAAGTGTAACCAGTCTATCTTTTAAACGAACTATTTCTATTAATTATTTAGCTACTGCTGAGAACACTTATGTTTCTAAGAAATCCTAGTCATATCAAACCTCAATGCAAGCCTGATCCTGGTTAGCAGTTCACAATTAACACCAAAAATACTGAAAAGAGAATTAAGAAACACTAAGCAAATGTTGCAAAATAATGCTCAAAAAGTTCACTCACTGGCATGAGAGAATGGGCTATTGAAAAGACTGAGGCACTGTGAAGAAATAACGCTCTTCATGAGTATTCCTAAAATCACCTTCCAAAGTGCCTCCTGGAAGCCATTTGTGCACACGAGGTCACATCTGAAGGCTTGACGAAAGTGCCCCAATTCATTCTACAATTTGATATCCAACAGATTACACATGGATTTAAACAAAAAGAAATCATTCCAAAGGATGAAGCATTACACTAACACAAGCATCTTCGGTGTTGAAGCTAGTCAGTTTGACTGGAGTTTTATTTCAACATATTCCTTAAGACAGAAAAGCAGTTAAAAAGATGAATTTGAAAACAAAATGCTTTGTCTAAGAAGTATCAGCCACCCCTATCAGTCTGAAAAAGCATGATTAAGGAAAAGCTCTTACCTGCTAGATCATCTGCAGAGGTGAAACCTTTGAGGTTTGCATACTGACAAGAGCTTAAAAGCCACTGCTTTAGAACAGTAGTAAATGAAATCGAGTCTTCCACCACCTGTTGCCCAAGAACTTATTTGGTCTCCAGTGTCTGCCACTGAGGTCCTATAGTCTAAGTTTAACAACTTATTTAGCACTAGGATCCTATCTATTTAACAAGATCCTAAGAGTCTTCACTACCTCAAGCTTCTCCTGGCTCTCTTACCCCTTACCTCAGCAAGTCTTGAAGAAATCATTGAGCAATTTGCAGGGGTTGGAAGTGAACAACATTGATGACTGCTCTGTGTAGATATTAACTATGCCAGGACTCATTTCATAAGAATGAGGAGTTTGTCATTTTAAGATGTGCAGAGTGTTGTGTGCCAGATGACTTCTGCCTTCCTCCCTGGAGGCTGCTACTGAGCCAGCTATGAACAGATGCAGCTTTACAGACCACCTTCTTCTGGAAGCATCAGATAGTCAAAACACTTTTATGGCCTCCAAACAATTCATTTTTCTCTTCAAAACAAAACACACACAAAAAAGCCCTATCTCCACTAGGAAGTAGCTTCCAGCACTTTTGTTCTGCTTAACTTGTGAACCCAGGAGAACCTGCCTCACAGCTGCAGAAGTAGGAGCTCTTCCCACCATATTTTAGCAGGGAAGACGCTGTGCTGCAGTAGCATCAGGCACAAGGATATTCCACCACCACTCCCAAAGTGTTTCCCTAACAGCAGGCTGAAGAAAAGCAGGGGGAAGATGGTTCTTTTTTTTCTTTTTTTTTTTCATAGGCCAACTCATGCTTTCCTTGCTGAAAAAAGTTAGCACGATTAATGTGAAGAGAAATTAGACCAGAGGGTAAGAGACATGGGGAAGAGCTGACCCTGTGCCTTCTCTTATTAAAAAAACCCTTTGTTTCTTTGCATGCAATCCATAGAATATTAAACTCTACATACTCTGAAGTTGGCTTGAAGCCTAACAAAACTGGAACCACCCCATCCTTATTGGCTTTATATAGATAGGTACAGAAATATACAAAGTTGAGATGATTCATGCTTTCTGGAATGAAGGGCAGTAGCGCAGCTTTGCTTAAGCAGAGATATTCAAGGGAGCAGGCAAAACAGACCGAGTACTCTGACAGCTAGGAAAAGCTGATGAAGGTTGTTCTTGGTAGCTATCAAAGAGGAAGAACATTACTGAAAAAGCAGGTAGGCAGGCGAGTAGGGCAGCTGATCCCACAGCTGAGAGAGAAGACTGGAAGGTGTTGGGGCCAAGCAGGGTTTAGCTCTTCTTCTGAATTGCTAGTCAATTAAAACAAAACTTGTGAAATAAACTGGCCGCCAAATGCCCAAAATTAAAATACACCACTCCCACCTGCCATAAGAGTCCTGAGCGTATTATTTCTCTTTGGAGGTAATTACCAACTTAAGTTATTCTGAGTTTCTCTGCATATGGCACAATCAAAGGACAAGGCAAAGACAAGGTACAGTATCAAAATTAAAAACCTATCCAATACACATAAAAATTGGAGTATTATACTTCTTAAAAGGCAAGAAACACTCTCCACTCATAAGCAAAAAGTACTGCTATGCACTCTAAATGAAATGGAAGCTGAAGATATTTTTAGCAATATCCATATATTCCATGTTTTTCTTAAATACACAAGTGACACTTCAGTGCTTTAACCAACACATTACTTCAAAAATGCACAAATAAAACTCAAACACCCAAGTATTCTCGAAGCATTCTGAAAGGATTTTGAAATTTTTAATAATCACCTCAATATGTCATAGTTCCTAAGAAAAACTTTTCCAAAAGTTTGATCTCAGAGATTGATGATATCAAACTCAAGAACGACTACAGATTTAAGGGTGCTGATGTAATTTTTCCACACAAAGTAACTGAACTCTGCAGAAAGCAAGCTATGTCAGATTAGACTACTATGTTGCTTTATAGACTGAAAATTCAATGTAGTATATTTTTGTACTGCACTAATGAGATGCCAACTCTCACTGAACAGCTATACAGATGTCTAGCCTTCAGAAGCCGGGATAACCATATGTCAAACTTCTGTGGTTTTGCCACTTGATATTTTGGGTGTATGCCTTCGTTTGTGATAATAAATATCAGGCCACAAACTAATGTCTCCTCAGATACCTAATATGTTTAACACTCAAAACAGCTTGAAAGTCTAAACATTTCTGCTGTTAGCTTTGAGTTCTCCTCAAAGAATTATGCTGCAATATATACCAGATGAATAGGCTAGGGATAACACAACCATTGCCAGTTGTTAGGATGGGTTTCTCTGCCATTTTGTATGTGTATTTTTTATCCTGCAGCACACACAAAGTTCAAACCCCCTCCCCTCCTCAATGCCTTCGTTACAAAAATCTGAATCCACTGTCCTACCACACATTTCAATGCTGAAGACTGAAAACCTGAAAGTCACTCCTAATCCTATCTTGCGTATAAGCAGGTACAAAGAAATGTTTGTACGTAAGACAGAATAGTACTATGTATTTTAAGTTTCAATTAATAGGCCCCAAAGCATTTTCTTCACATAGCAAATGGATAAATGCAACAGCAAAGTTAAACAAATGACACAGCATTAGACAGCCAGTCTGAAACAGTGAAGGAAGCAGAATTCAGCCCCAGCCTCTCATTTAGAACACCTTAATCACAATGTACTTCCTTCTGTATGCATATGCTTATATAGAATATATTCTTACCATGTATGTTAGCTTCTGCACCTTTGCAACCAAACAACTAATTAGGAGAAATTGCTGTAGCTTAAACAAAGCCAACAGTGTTATGCTGACAGACATCTTCCAAAATTTGGTACTGTTCCAGCATGCACCTAAGAGGAAAGGCTTTTGTCTGACCCTTTACAGACCTGAGGAATTAGCATTATAGCTGACTAAACCCACAGGATGTATCTCAGAGGTCCGGCTCCTTACTGAAAAAGGCCAGAACACCAGAACTGCAAATGAAACAACACTGCATATAATTTTATGCAGTATTGCTAGAAAAGCCCTCCTTCCCCCAACAAAAACAATAGCAATGACTGTCCTTTCCTCTCTTACCAGTATCTTAACTTATACAATTTAAGACTTGCACTGCAGAAAAAATACATATGTACATATAAATATATATAAAAATATAAAAGCCAATCAGTAGGGTCAAGTCTCTCTTTTTATAGTTATGTTTCCAAAGTTGTCTCCAATCAAACTAATCCTCCAAGACCAGAACTATCACATTAATGGTTACTTTTCTTTATTATCTACAAAACCTTTTCTGGCCAAAGTAGTAAAGACTCTATAGGAGTCCGATAACTTTACAAGGTGACGGCATTTCTGTGTTTATTGTAAGCCATTTCTACTGCGAATCGCTAACAACTTTTCAAAGTGCAACACTGATTTGGAAATGCAGGCACATTAATACATCAATTGCCATGACTAATGTATAAACTTTTAATGACCTTGGCAAAATCTTTCTTTCATTGGGCAGGTGCCACTATTTTGACTGTACAAAATGTTTTGGAAATATGTTGAAAATTATACATGTTTTGGAAAATATTTCAGGATTTCAATATAGCAAATGAAGCTATATTTAATAAAAGTTTGACATGGAGGAGAAAACACTCCAAAGTTGTGCAAGTCTTTTTAAAAAAAAAAAAAAAAAAAAAGAGATATCCTCCAAGTGTTGTACATTCACAGAATGCTGAGTTTTTATCCAAACAAAGCTAAGAAGATAAAACATTATCTTGAATGGTTTTCAGTTTCATTCAGTCACTGTCATCTTCTTGTTTCAGACCACCTCCTTGTTCAGTATTGCCCTCTCCATCGCTTTCCTTGTCCCAGTCTTTCATAGATGCTCCCATCATGAAGTCATCACGCAGTATATTCCATTCTGGCCCCTCCTCGGACTTCACTTCACCCTGAATGTTTGAGTGGGGGAGAAGAGGGAACAGAGGAAGATGAGATGAATGTGAAAGGCAGTAAAAGATGGAAGCTCTTCATGCAATCAAATAACACCTCTCACTCTTATAATTTGCGTCTGCAGACCTACTGAGGGCTAGCTTTTTATGTAAATGGTACGCAGAAAAACACGGGACAATCATAAGTGACTTGATGCTAAAAAGCAAACTTGTTTTAACCAATGAATAAAAGAAATATGGAAACAAAACAATTATTCCTCATAGATGAAACACTCAACCCTGGGCACAGCTTCCTTTATTAAAATCTTTCTTGGCAATCAGAATGGATTCATGATATCATTTATTAACCCCCAGGTGCTGCTTCATTAGAACACTTTTTGGCACATTTCTAAAACACAAATATGGATTTAATAAAAGCTTAAAACCCCCCAAACTTAATATTTAACATATTCTGTGATACGTGAACCAAATCCCCTTTATGTGGATTATTACCTCACTACCTGGGCTTGTCATATGGTGCAAAGCTGCCTCTAAAAGAAACAAAGTTGATCTACACTCAGCAAGCCAAACAACACCTTACTCCAAATTTCCTACCTCTTGAAAGTGGATAAACAGAGGCCACACTACACAAACTGGTGAATAATAAAGAAAAGTGACACGAGTGTAGTTTTAGTTTAGCACTGAAACCAGGGCTTGGATGCAGTTCATCTCAGTGACTGTTCATATTTGGGCAGTGCAACAGCCCCATCCTGTGGCAACAGTTTTAAAGAACAGCTTGAAGCTATTGCTGAAGGAAAAAATACTAAAAACTGTTCAATATACTGAAGAAGGATTTCAGCGGTTTAAGCTTAATAGCAAAATACTTCTGAGGAACACAACATGTCTCAATGTCCAGCAGGCAAGCAAAAAATTGTCCTACCAAAACAGAATCAGGGACACTGAAAACGGTAATTTACTTTTGCAGGGTCCTTGAAACAAAGTTAATACAGGCATCTCAGGTGTGCTTTTCCCACTCCGCTGCTCAAAAGGACAGACCTCAGCTGACTCACCCTAATTTAAGGAACCAGCACCTCCTGATACTCTACAGTGGATGGCAGTTATCCTTTACAGCATCCTCTGCAGATGCAGATTCGCCTACTAGATGCAAAACCCGTAGTAAATGTATGATCACTGTAGACATTTGTTCATGCCTCTAGGAATATGTGATACATAGAATCATAGCATATTTAAGCTGATGTCCGTGCAATCTTTGGGAGAGAGCAGCATACAGAATTCAATAGCAGAAGAAATAAAGAATAGAGAATGCAGGTCCATCACTGTAAATTTAACACATCATATCATGCCAACAGAAGTTATCTGAGTGCAAAAAGTCTGCCAAACAAGATTTGTATTTTTAATAGCTAGTCAAAGCAGAAGTGCTAAATGTGACTTCTCCTGCAGTTCTTTTTCAAAGACTACTCTCACAAAAATAGGGTAACAAGTCCCAAAAAGAATCTCCCAGGGCCCAGTTCAAAAAAAGAGAAACTCTACAGCTGTTCCTCAAGATGTTTGCACTGTGTTTTCTTTTGTGTGTGTTTTTTTGTTGGTTTTTTGGTTGTTTTTTTTTTTGTCTTCACAGCTGCTCTCATTAATGCCTACTCCTAAGAGTAGCTCTCCCATCCCAACAATCCCCCTTTTCCCCAGGGTTGTGTGTCCTAACCACTTTCCACTCTTGCAGCAATTTACTTCAAATACTATACCAGTAAAGCCTGAAATATCTCAGACTGGGTAATCAATTACCTGGAATTAAAGAGTTACAGATCAGATAGATCCCTAGGCAGACCTTAAGATGTTCACATGGGAATAATCTATTTTAGTGCAAACACAGCTACTCTGTTCTGGGACACAAGGAGAGGGTAGCTTCCCCCCATGCCCTTTTAACTGTATTTTCAGTTGTTTTATATGTTTACCTTTGCAGAGCACAGAAAAGTCGGAATGATTACAAAAGTCACCAAGCTTTTTTTTTTTTTTAATCCCAGACCTTTTATAAATCACTGTCTGAACATGCCACAAAGTAAAATTTGAAATACCTAAATGGAAAAATCCCACCTTCCTTACAAAACAATCCAATTTTCTTATTTTTTTCAATAATAATAAAACCAACAGAAGTTCCTCCTCCCCCCCCCAAAATGCACAGAACAGGCATTTTTTTGTTTTGTTTTTTTTTTTAAACAGCACAGAAGCAGTAGATTACTGTCAGCAATGACAGTGAAAGGCTCAGGGTTTAAAAGCCCAATGCTCAAATTCATCACAAGCTACTATTCAGCAACCATTAGCTGTTCTTTCTGGCTATGTCAAGTGAACAACAGAACAAAAGCAGGACCTCAACAAAAGAGGGATGCTGATCCTCCATAGCATTACCGACTATGTAAGGCACCACAAAGGTTTGAATAGTTTTACAACAAGCCCTAAGGAGAAAGACAGAGGTAGCATGTCCATTCCTCAAAGATGAAGATTAAATGCTCGAAAGCAAATATTTAATCAATTTTAAGCGTGCTCCCAAGTGAAGAAAACCCCATGTTTAGTATCTTCATTCCTAACTCATTTACTGGTCTATTTTCCTCTCAGAATAAAAACTCCCCAAATCTATCATATCACAAAACATTCCCGGAGTCAAGAAATTATGCAGCAAGACTATTTGTATAATTAACAATTAGTTCAACTGTAACATCGCTTCCCAACTTGCTTTATGTAAGAATTTTAATACACTTGGTTTTTCAATGCCATAATCTGGTTTCATCTAAATAAAACAAACCTGATTCTTGGCACATGGAGAATAAACCAGCTTTCATTCTATGCAACCGCTTTTGAACTTCCCATCAGCTGTTCATCCACACCTCCCACATTTCACTACAACACTGAAGTCCCCTTTGAACATCCCCAAATGAAAACAAAGCAGGCTATATAAACATTAGTGTGTAACACTACATAAAGTGGATCCTTCAGTAAGGCGAGGAGTGAAAAGTTCTGGTGTTGCTTTTTTACCCCTCTCCCTTTTTTTTACACATACATTTGAATGGGTTTGCTTTTTGCCTGAAGGTGTGGCAACCTATTTCAAAAGGTCTGAGAGGCAGCAGTTAGTAAAGTATCTCAGGAGTCACTGGTTACATGGTGATACACTTGTTATCATGAGCTGAGTAAGACAGACCAAAACGTGCGTGTGGTTACTCTAGTGCAGATACTCCTTTGCTGGGACAGACTGATAGTCCAGTTGAAAAGAGATGATATAAATAAAACAAACACCATCTTGCCTGCTTGGTATGCCACCTAAGCTATTGCAGCATTAGCTCAAGTCTGACACAAGTAGGGCTCTGTAGTGGGGACATACTTCCCAAGTTAATTCTGGTTTGAAGACATACCCTCTAAAACCTGCACCAGGACAAGATGAACTGAAATTCTTAGCCAAGCCCTAACAAAACCACCCACCCAACAACAAAGCTTAGGTCTGTCACCTAGAACAAACAGCCATCCCTTGCAGGATCTGGGCTGGAATTGCCTCCTGGATGCTTTGGGAGGAAGCCGTCTATGAAAGCCTCATGGCACCAGCAGCAGCTATATAATCAAGATCAAGTTAGAAATCTCCCTGTTTTGGTTCATTTCTTTACCACTGCAAAAATTTGGAGTTAAATAATTCACTCTTGATAACTGACATTACAGTAAGTATCTTCAGCTGAGCCCTGCCAAACTCAACACTGGAGTTGCAGCAGACTGCACTGCCACTCAGGTGGGAGATCGATCCTCTCTACCCCTTCTGAAGTTGTCAGAAGCAGCAGCAGGATACTTGTAACTGCACATAGCTGCTTCAGTCTGCAAATGAGTGCCTTAGCTCAAAGGCTGCTTCCTTTGAAAGCTTAAGGGAATTAAGTTCAGTCTAAGTCACAGGATGTTGTCATTTTCATCTGTTGCTTTACTGGCACAGCAACATCCTAAAACCAGAGCAGGAAATTTTGCCAGAGCTTTTCAGAACCTTACGCATAAGCAGACCAAAGTCCCATAATGCTTACTGGTAAGCAACAGCATTAAAAGATATGTCTTGAAATCAGAGCCCACAGATTAAAGACAGCATTTCACTCTGCTTTCCACCAGCTCGTGTCACTTGAACACACCCTAGTTTCTGCATCTGTAAAACAGCAACCATACCTACATCACCGTAGAGATTCCCCTACAGCCTGCATCCAGAAGACAGTAACTGCAGGGTATTAACAAATGAACATTTTTCAGACCTAGGAATTACAATCAGCATGCTGGGCTCCCACGCCTTTGCTCTGTGTGCAAGATGAAATGCCAGAGCTTGCAGGGGCATCTCTCTTTACCATTACATACAATAAACGTTTATTTGTACCTGTCAGGGAAGGAATTCCTAACATAAATATCTCTCAAACAACAAATTTAAGCCCTGAGAAAACAATTCTAACATGTCTAATTAATTTGAACTGCCTCCCCAGGTTCCTCTATTTTGCTCAATGCAAACATCTAAGACCTTGAAATACAGGGAGGCTTTTATCATGACAAAGAAGTTAAAAAGTGTAACTGCCAAAATGTATTCTCGCATACATCTGACAATTACCTTCCCTGCCAGCCTGCATCTTGCTCCAAACAACTGCTGCTATTCCGTTTCTCATCCCCAAGCAAGTTGGTTTAAACCTAGCTCAAAAAAACCCAGGATAGGTATACACTGAGGTGTGTTAAATATAAATTTAAAAAAAAAAAAAAAAAAAGAAGAAAAAAATCACATGGCAGAGAAGCAGAGAGAGGAAATGGAAAACAAAGAACACCAGCATAATCATTCCTCCTAATTCGTTTTCAGGAATATCCAAGATCACAGGCTAAGACAGTAAGTTCCCTCTAGGCTAAGAAGAAATAAAGAAAACTGCAGCTGAAGTATCTAAAGCAGCAATAGAAGCAGAAACATAATGTAATGATTTTTAACAGACAAATGACACTTGGGTTTAATCATCAGT